CTGAAAGTCTGTCTGGATCTGAACTGCTACAGTCTTGCTGGATGGCTGACAACTCAGCTTCTACATCTGCAAGCCACGACAACATCGTAGGAGGTGACATCGTTGAAGCTTGCCTGCTTTGTGTTTATATCAGACAGGTGGTCACCAAAGGCCAGGCACCTGCAGAGTGTTAAACAAATATTATTTAGTATTTGCAGTTGTGCAGTATTTACAAATTCTGTAGCTCACGATGGCCCACAAACAATATCTTTAGCCCTTTAACTCTTTCAGGCCCAAATAAAACACCATAGGGACTGGACATTTGGCCAGGTTAAACATTTGGCCATGTTAAACATTTGACCATGTTCAACATTTGCCATGTTCAACATTTGGTCATGGTCATGTTAAACATCACAGTGGCCAGGAGAAAACAATGACCGAGAGTACAGTTTCTAAAAAACAAGGCAGAGACATTATCTCTCTGAAAAAGTGGATATAAGACGGAAGATGCATTCACTATGAAAGCACAAAGGGCTGGAGAACTAGTTAGAGAAAGAGAGAGTGTCAGGTTGCCTTGAAGACAGCAATGTTCTGTGAGGGACCAGTTGACTGATGATGAATCCATGTGAAATAATCCTGGCATAAACTCCTGGTATTCCAGTCTCTATCTTCTTATGTGGCCTACCAGCAGAGCTTCCCATGGTAGTACCATAAGGTTTATAGAAAGTGCAGTTGTGAGAAGAAGAAAATAGTTTTATACTGGGCCCCTCACAAGGAGAGGCAGGTAAAGAATCACCAAACAGCCACTGAAATGAGAAACAAATGGGTTGAGACAACAAAGGCATCCAAGAATGACTACAAGATAATGCTGATGAGAAAGGCTAAAGATGCTGGACTGAATTCTATCCATGATATCAACAGAAATACACAGGATAGAATGGGATAGAGGATTAGACTGCAAGCCTTGTGTAATCAATAACGGAACAGACAGCAGAATGACGATGACAGAGCAGCAATGTAAACCTGGTATTGTGCTTCACAAAACACACAAACATCAACAACAACAACATACTTGTGTTTCAGGTTTGAGAAATCATCGGAAACCTCCTTAAGCTGATCCTTGACCACTTCGGCAGCTTCACAATCCATGCTGATTAGACTGCTGCGGACCGGTCTCTGGCGGTCGGCACGGAAGGAATCCACTTCCAGCTTATAAAGCTGCACACAACAAACAAGTAAGTACAAGTAATGAATACCCCGTCAAGTATTTGAATCAGTTCAGTACAGGTTATCATCTGGGTTTTTCTGGCAGGAACCAATAGTACGCAGTACCTGCACCTTTTTTTTAGGCCTTATTTGCTTCAGCTCTACTGTTTTACTTTTTTTTTTTTTTTAATTATTTTTTTATTTAATATTTTGTGATACATACCAGTACTCTGTAGGGTACTGGAAGATGAGACCAATCTGTATATCAGAGCTGGCTTTTGCAGACGATGTGGCCCTGATAGCTAAATCAGAGGCACACCTTCAGTTAAACTTACTTGTCTGGAAGGAAAAGCTTGAAAAGAAAGGGATGACCATCAGTATCTCCAAAACTAAAACCATGGTGATCTCAAGAGAGGAGAAGAAACACCAGATCATGATGGGGCAGTGTGCATTGGAGTAGGTTAACCATTTCAAATACCTTGGAGTTGTACTAGACCAAAACAGAGGCATTAAGACTGAGCTGGCTACACGAAAAGCAGCTGCTGAGAGACTCTTCCAGGCCATAAACCGAGGGTTCTTAGCAAAAGAGAAATTGGCAAGAGGACGAAAATTGCTGTTTACCGCTCTACCTTTGTACCAGTCCTGACCTATGGGTGTGAGTCATGGGCAATGACAACAGCTCACAGAAGCCAGCTGCAGGCCTCGGAAATGAGATACCTGAGAAAGGTGGTCCTAGTGACAAGAAGGGACAAAGTCCGCAATCAGACAATACGTCAAGATCTTGATACCCAGCCCTTACTAACCCGAGTAGATCAGTCACAGTTACAATGGTTTGGACATGTATGCACAATGGGAGAAAATCGGCCATCATGGCAAGCATGGGAAGCTAAGAACCAGGGAACCAGACCTCCAGAACGACCCAGGGTGCGCTGGGAAAACAACATCCGACAGTCCCTAACTGACAGAGGACTGGAATGGAACAAAGCCAGAAAGAAAACTGCTGATAGAGATGTCTGACGATCTCTCTGGCAAACCTCTACACCCCAAGGTAGAAGAGGAGCGACTAAGTAAGTACTAAGTAAGTAAGTGATACATACCAGCATCTCTGACAGAGCTTGACATTTTTTCAAAAATGGACTTAGCTCCTAAGTCAACACAGCCTTAAGTGGGTACCAGATAATGTCAAGGGAAGTAAAGGTGACCGATGTGATTCTGACCACATGACCCACCCAATGCCTGATTGGTCTATATGCCCAATATGATTGAATGCGTGGAAAATGGCCCTTTACTTATTGACTTTATTAACCGACACCTTGTTTACTATTTTGTAAAAAGCCCTGGTTATCATCACTGCACTCGGAAGGACATGTTAGTAGGTGGTGGCATCTCATCTTGTAGCATCCGAAAGTCTTCAAGGACTATCTGTGCTAGTTGAGTGTTGACTGACAAGCCTCCATATACAGTAGGGTACCCCCTAAACTGCCATTTAGTTAGCCTCATATTGATGGGATGTAACTGGTGTTATGACCACTGATATGCCAGCTAGATTCTACTTTCGGAAGAAATCCCAGGCACTTCTTGCAGAGATGAATATGGCAAAGGACACGACTGTCTAGGCTGATGGACATGTGAGTACAGCCTGGAGCTGCAAGCAACAAGGGAACAAGATGTCTGATTAATCAACATAGAACAGGTGTCATCGGTTGTTTTACGCTTGTGGAGCTTCTGATGAGGAAAAAGAGCACCTGTCAATCTGTTCAGTGCTTTGATAACTAATCATTAATCACTACTTTATGAATGCATTGCATGCATACCTACCAGTACTGAGTATCGAACCCAGAAGCAGTATGTTAGTAGGAAAGTGCACTATCCACTGGGATGTGCAAGATGGACAGGCATGGTGATCCTTGAATCACTGATCAGAATGGGGACATAAGTCTGTGGACAGGGAACACAATGAAGATGTGCCTTAAGATTCTGACCAGTGCCAACACAAACAGTCCAACATTAGAAATGCAGTTCACCATTGATGGAAGCAGCAGTTGGAAGAGATCAGTAGTTGCACACACAGTTAACTGCATAAGGCAGTACCAGTTCTCTAGCAACAGGCCATTTTCCATTTTGTGAATTTGCAGTTCCCAACACAAACTGCGTTGAGCACAGTAAAAAAAGCACTCCAAATGAAATCTGCAGCTCACAGTGTTGCGCAACGCACTTACAAACTGGGCAATAGAACTTCAGCCTTTCCATCTATTTAAGAAGAAAAATTAAATGGCTAACTACTGTCAGAAGCAAAAACTTGCAACAACTAAAAACAGTAAACCTGCCTATTTGCCATACTGACCGAGGATTAAACACATGACCACTATATTGGTAGACAATAGAACAGCAACTACACCACCCCAGTTCACAGATAATGATTTGCAGAAATCTAAAACCATACAAGTAATCAGACAGCATGAGAACAGAGAGAGGCATACCTTTGCCTCATCCATGTACTTCTGTACAGACAATGACATTGCTCTGATAGTGGCCTGGTGGGACTGTACATCATTCAGGAGTTTCCCATGCTCCTCTTGAACTGGTGTCAAGTCACGAAGTCTGTAACACAAATTCTGGCTTCATTACCATAACTCTGTACAACTGTCCCACACACATGTTACTGTACACTCTGACCCACTCAGGTACACTGTAATGCAAATTCTAGGTTTGTTAGACAGCTTTGTTACTGTACAACATATATGTAAATGGACACTAACCCAGTCAGCCTCTCACCTCAAGACTCGCTTCATCGCCTCTCTAGAGAGGGACAATGTATTATATTCAGACTAAGGACAGGGCACAACAGACTTTGTTAACAAATGTTCAAGCATTTGCTCTTAAACATAAGTTATACATCCTTAATCTCTCCCACAAACATTAGAAAACTGCTCTCCCATTTGCTACAGACCTATTATATAATAAAAGAATCTGTCATGCAGGTTATAAACTTCCTTCATTACTATTGGGAACACACTGTACAAACTGCAAAACTAGTAATCTACAGATGAATCGGTATGAATCTTTTAAACATCATATATATATATATATATAATATATATATATATATATATATATATATATATATATATATATATATATATATATATATATATATATATATAGATAATAGAGAGAGAGAGAGAGAGAGAGAGAGAGAGAGAGAGAGAGAGAGACAGAGAGACAGAGAGAGAGGGAGAGGGAGAGAGAGAGAAGAGAGAGAGAGAGAGAGAGGAGAGAGAGAGAGAGAGAGAGAGAGAGAGAGAGAGAGAGAGAGAGAGAGAGAGAGAGAGAGAGAGAGACAGACAGACAGAGACAGACAGACAGAGACAGACAGACAGACAGACAGACAGACAGACAGACAGACAGACAGACAGACAGACAGACAGACAGACAGACAGACAGACAGACAGACAGACAGACAGACAGACAGACAGACAGACAGACAAAGGAGAGAGGGGAGAGAGAGAGAGAGAGAGAGAGAGAGAGAGAGAGAGAGAGAGAGAGAGAGAGAGAGAGAGCATTTTATGACTGTTGCAAGACTAGCACAAGAAAGTCATGTCACTCAGACATAATGGAAGCAGATCCAGAGGTCGACCATGCAAGCGATGGATAGATGGAATATCTGAGGCTGCAATTACAAGCACTTACACAGCACATACTAAGGCAGGCAACCGAATGCCTCTTCAAAACCGGATACTGAAAGAGATTAGAGAAGAAGAAGAGAAGGAAGAAGGAAAAGATTATTGCAGGTAACGAGTTGATAACACACCTTTGCAGCCCTTCCTTCTGCTCCAAAAGCTGACTGTTAGCAAACTTCATCCACGTTTGAAACTTGCTATTTCTGTCTCCAGTTTAAAGAGTTCCTCCGATGCTGTCTTCAGGTGTCTCAATCGCCGGTCTGATGTCTTTACCACCTGGTTTCAATGTAAAATAAACATTTTCAAGTATTTATTCTAATTCTCCTAACCAAAAAAGGCCAATCTGTCATACTCTCCAGTACGCAGGGGACAACATTAAGAAATACTAATTCTTTGAATAATTGAAAAAAACTCTGAATAATTACACAGTCAAAAGTGCATGACTTCAGGATACATTAACTGTACTGCAGAGGCCGAATGTCTTCAGTATTTTCTGGACCCCCCCCCCCCCCCCCCCCACAAAAAAAAATAAACATGCACATGATAACTGGAAATTAAAAGAAAGCTTCAATTCAGTATTTGTTGTCTGGGACTGAGAAAAGCTGACCCTATTGCCTCAGTTAGTTGACAGATAATGCTCACTGCACATCAAACCATACAGTCTATAAGTGCTCGGATCCTCTCCTTAGTCAATCCTGCATCGTGTAACGGCTTACGACATGAGTTCTGTGTTGATTTCTTATTCTTCTTTGGCTTCTTGCACAGCCCTCTTGTCTGGCCACAGCCCTCTTAACAACTTGTTCTTGCAGTCTGTTAATGGTTGCAGATTCACAATCATCACTTCAAACGTCTTACTTCTTGTAGAGCATTCAGAATTTCAGCGTGGTCCATTGCTCGTCTGCCCTCCACAGTAGCTGTAACTGCAAGCCAATCAGCTTGCTCATTTCCTTGCACACCTGCGTGACCTGGCACACATATGAAACTGATATAGGTCAAACTGGACTGCTCTAGAGACTCCAACCCCTGTCTTCGGACCCAGCCCTTCTCTATCTTCCTGAGCATACTCACACTGAGTCACTGAGAACGCATGCGTGGGAAAAGGTCTGTGTCTCCAGCCATGTTTTGGCTTTGGTGACTGCCATGAAGTCCATAGTCAGACTACTTGTGGTACTGCCCCGAGAAGCCATAAAACCAACACTTCCGGTTGTATTTAATCTCCTGTACATTTTATTTAAAGGACTTTCTACACTGGCGTGTTCCCAAGACAGCTAGTTAACACTATTGGTTGTGTCTGCGCCTGCGCAGAATTTAGGAGGTAGAGATATGAATATATTTACTTTAAAAAAATCAGAGGTACGCATGGGAGGGTTCTTTGTGAACAGAAATTCTAGGGTTCATTTCCCCCACAAAATAACAAAACTAAAAAAGCAGGTTTCCCAGCTTTGAGGTCAACTGGGACTAAAGTGCAGACTCCAATTTTTTGTGTGTGTAGCAGATTGTATAGATAAATCGGTGAAGAACCCTATACCAATTATAAAAATCCACCTTGGTGTGGATTTGAACCCAAGACCTTCAAGCTGGCAACAAGTGTCTAGCCACTGTGTTACCAGGGTTGCCATTCCATATTCTATAACTTCTTTACCTATCTTCTTTACTTCCTCTGTTACCAGTTTGGGTTTATGGAGGATTTAAAGTTTGGTTTTTGGTTTGGTTGCTTTTCTGGCCACCTCAAAAACAGACACATCATGCTGTTCTAAAGTATCTCTCATGCTAGCATTCTATAACACTAGTTAACAGTTATCAGTGACAGTTCAGATGAAGCAGATGTGCTCATCTACAAAGATGGGTCCACTCTATGGGGACACAAAAGTGCTTGGGCATTCACAGCTGGCTCTGCAGGCAGCACAGTCCAGGAAGTCAGCAGTACTTTATGACTACCAGGAGCATGATAATGAAGGTGATGGCAGTGACACAAGCTTTCAAGTGGCTGGAATTACAGGACTATTCCCATGTGTGTGTGCTGAATGATTCCATGAGCATGATTCAGCAGGTTGAGGCAGGCTCAGTACCCAGACAGTGAACCGAGTCATTGTGAAACTACCCTGTGCATGCAGTTACCTTCCTCTTTTTCCCAAAGAATCCGGGTATTTCTGACAATAAAAGAGCTGACAGACTGGCTGCTTCTGAGGATTCTGGGAGCAGTGTGTCCACATCACTGCTGAGAATAAGAGAACTGAGAGTAAAGACTGGCACCGCCAAGTATGAGAGAGACACTGGACGTACATGAAGTCTTGTTAACCAGTTTAGGATTGGCACTATTAACAGCAGTATGATGATATATAAGTGGAAGGGGCAATCTTGAGCACTTACGGAGGTGTCTAGAGTGCTGTGAAGATAACCCAATTCATGAATCATAACTAGTCAAAAACTGGCCATGAAGACAGCATTTAAGAATACCTTTTCTAGAACCTTCTGAAGGTTTGCTGCTTCCCCAGAGAGGGAAGTCACTTCTTCTGGTGTTAGCTCCTCCTGGTATAGCTCAGTGAGTTGTTCGGCTTCGTATATCAGAGAGCTAATGGGCTGCTGGCAGGCGAGAATCTCCTCATGCAGAGCCTGGTGAAGCAAAGGAAGCATCCAGGTAACAACATCCACACAGACATATGCACAATACAAACAGATTGGGAACACATTTCACTGGCCCCACATGTTATATTCAGATAGACATGTAAAAGCATCTTTGTTACATTGGAAAGACATAAATGGCAATAATTATTGCTATATCAAAAAGACATTTAGCTCTCTGAGTCCCAAGGAAGGCATCACGCACTAACTGGTTACTACCCAGCTGCCTCATTGGCGTGTGACGTGTGCAGGTATTTAGTTTACCATTGACCAGTATACAAATGCAAGCTGGCAGTTTTGAATGATTTTTTCTGGTCTTTGTGTTTGATGGCCACTTATTGACCATTAGACTGGTTCAGAAATGAGGTTAAAAGCATAAAATTTAGCATACTTGAGAGTTTTACTGAGTAACTAAGTGTCAGAAAACAAAATGGCCTCTGAAAAGATTTCTTCATGCATGCCAGCATGATTTTTGGGGTTAGAGGCTTCAAGTTTAAATAAAACGTGTTAATCAGATTTATCCAAAGCTACATAAAGAGAGTTGCACAGTAGACTTCTTTCAGTTAGTGATAGAGTTAAACTTTGATGAGGGATAGCTCTGATATGTGCCTCGTGCAAATCATACATGGATAATAATCAGCTGGCATAAAGATAATAAATATTAGTGAAGAAATGTTACTCTTTTCGGTGTCAGATCTAGAGTGATTCCCTTATTATTTGGCAACATAGCTATAAACTTATGGGCAAATGGAGTGGTTACATAAAGTTCATTTTGTGCGAAAAAAAACTAATTGTTTTGGGACTGATTTTTCTTTACCAAAAAGTGTGCTGTTTTAGTGTTCCAACAGTTTGTTTGTCTGGAATGAGATCTAACATACAGATTGTGTTTATATTTTATTAATACACTACTAAGTGGTTCAAGTTCATTCATGATTTAGTTTGGATATATTTTATCAAGTTTACCTTGAGAGCTATGGTGGTAAGTGAAAATTTGTTAATTTTATTTTACTATAATTTTATTTTACTATAATTTTATTTTACTACAATTTTATTTTACTATAATTTTATTTTACTAATTTCTCTGAGTATCTTACCTGTTTATTTACTAATATTTAATGATTATTTGTTGTAGCAGTATTTTAAAATTATTCCTCAACAATCCCTGGTCACTGCACATCATCTGAATTAGTATTACTAATATTTAATGACACTCACTTCTAAAAGTAATCACTGGTTAAGCATGGCAACTTTTCTATTAAAATTAATGGCTGGTTACACCGGAAAGACCTCAAAGTTATAATCCTGGTACATGGAAAGACATAAAACGGCAACTTTTCTGAATTAGCTGGTTATGGTCTATCCTAATGGTGTTACACTTCAAAGCAACTTATATGCAATACCACTGGCCATTTACTTGGACCACTTCAGAAAGACATATACCCCCTGGGATTCTAAAAGACATAAATTGGCAACTTGTTACACCGGAAAGACATGGCAACTCTTCTATATATAAGAAAAGATATACATGGCCAGTTACACCGGAAAGACATAAAATGGCAACTTTTCTATAACAGAAAGACATATAATGGCTGGTTACACCGGAAAGACATAAATTGGCAACTCTTATATATATAAGAGAAAGACATATTATGGCCAGTTACACCAGAAAGACATAAATTGGCAACTCTTATATATGTAAGAGAAAGACATATAATGGCCAGTTACACCAGAAAGACATAAATTGGCAACTCTTCTATATATAAGAGAAAGATATATAATGGCCAGTTACACCAGAAAGACATAAATTGGCAACTCTTCTATATATAAGAGAAAGATATATAATGGCCGGTTACACTAGACATAAAATTGCAACTTTGCTAAATTAGAAAGATACAAAATGGCCGTTTATATAGAAAACTATGATAACTATTCTATATTAGAAAAACATATAATAATAAGTTATATACGAAAAACAAAACAATTATTTGTTAAATATAAGAAAGACATAATAGGCAGACACAGGAAAGATATAAAATGGTAAATCCCCTATATGATATTGACATATAACAGCTTCTATGATGTATAAACCACGTGAGAATTAAATGAGAGGTTGAATATGCAAACGATGGACAGATGGAATAACAAAGTCCTTAAACACTTTTATGAAAACATGCAGCTCACATTCAGTTGGGCTGTGTTGCCACCATGCTCTGTAAAGAGCTGGTGAGGGATTGAGTTTCATTCAGTTGGGCTGTGCTGCCACCAGGCTCTGTACAGGACTTACTACATGATTATGATGATGTCACTGAGAAGATAAATGTAATAATAAAAACATGACCAACCAACCTTATGGGCATCAAGCTGGACCTGCAGCCTGCCGGCTCCATCTTCCATCTCACCATCCTCCTTGAGCAGCTGTTCAAATCCTTGAAGTTTCTGCAACTCTGCTGACATGTCTTCCACTATCTTATCATAGGAGTCTGCCATCTGTAAAGACAAGAATACAGTCTTAGACATTTGTAAAGACAAGGATACAGTCTTAGACATTTGTAAAGACAAGGATACAGTCTTAGACATTTGTAAAGACAAGAATACAGTCTTAGACATCTGTAAAGACAAGAATACAGTCTTAGACATCTGTAAAGACAAGAATACAGTCTTAGACATCTGTAAAGACAAGAATACAGTCTTAGACATTTGTAAAGACAAGAATACAGTCTTAGACATCTGTAAAGACAAGAATACAGTCTTAGACATCTGTAAAACAAGAATACAGTCTTAGACATCTGTAAAGACAAGAATACAGTCTTAGACATCTGTAAAGACAAGAATACAGTCTTAAACATTTGTAAAGACAAGAATACAGTCTTAGACATCTGTAAAGACAAGAATGCAGTCTTGGACAACTCAATTCACTCTGCCGAGATACTAAGACAACTCCTTTAGCTGACACAGGGACACAGGTAATAGAACCATATGCGTACTAAAAACAAACTGTGCCTCTCTACCATGGAGGTTGCTTGATTGTGGACCCAGGGTTTTTGGTTTAAATTTAAAATGGAGCCAGTTTTTTTCATTTTTTTTAATGACCTTTGTGCCTAGCAGCTTTAAGTGGGTACCAAGTAAAGTCCTGGGAGGTAAAGGTGGCTGGAAAGATTTGGACCACATCCCCCAACAAGTGCCGACTGGTCTATAAGATAAAGGTCTAGCCCTAATTGTATGTGATGAGGCTTCAATTGTTTCCATGGTGTGATTTTTGTACTGCTGTCGGAATGCCACAAGAACAGTATTTTTCTGAGCCTTCCACTGTGGGAATCAAACCCTGGTCAAAGCTAGGTTTTGTGACATACTGCTCAATCTTCCTCCACAGAATGGGTAGTTGCCTGCCGAAAGCATGGCAAAAAGCACAAATTCCATAGCTCTGGTAACGATCCCCAAGGTATTCTGTAAAAATTACACTTGATCACTGACTTCACCAAATAGTGATTGTGGTTATGGTAGAAGTAATAATGATTTAGTCTTATAATTTATAATTGACCGACTGCCAGCAGAAATGTTTTCAAACATCTTAAGATGAATAAGGTTACAGTCTAGCAATCAAAGATTTCATGAAACATGACATTCTCATAAAGCTATCATTGTAACACAGACAATGTTAAATCAAGCAAGTTTTGAACAAAATTAAAAAAAAAAAACAAGAGTTAGGGGTGCATTTATGTACTTGTTATTTTTAACAACACAGGAGCAAGTTACGGGAAAATAAATCTACACTGCAAAACATCAACTCAAATGAAAACAGAATTATCAACACCAGTTAAAAAAGGGAAAGCAAAAAATAAAGCTTCCTCTCACTGTGGTCAGTCTACTTCTTCTCTTCTTTGGTGAAAAGGAAAAATCTTGCACATGGCCAAGTAAATCTCCACTCCTTCCTAAAACATTCTGGAGTTAGCAATGCAACCAACAGGTTAACAAAAAATAAAATAAACAACAAACAAGCTCAACTCAAACTCTAAAATTATATACAAAAAAGGTGAAAATTCAAAATATGAGACATGTCCACGTTCCTAAAGGGCAACAATATCACACAAATATTTGTTAGCTGAAGCAGCTTTTTGATTACAATTTTTTTGTCTAAGGTTTTACGCTTGTTATATGAGAACAATTTAAACAGCAAAATACCAACCAAAGTGATCAATCAAATTCCACAAGTTCAACAAAAACACATAAATAAAGATACCTCTCTGATAGTGATGGGAAAATAGGGGTGAGGGGTGTGCATCTGCAATATTTTATGTTAGCCCTGTTACAGACAGTGGTTATAGCAGACTGCAGGCATTACGGGAACACATTTAAGGAGGACATGATACTATCTGGAACAAAAATTGAGTTTTTGTTTTCAAAACTTGGCTTTAAATGGAATCATTTCTGTGACCCTGTTGAATACATTTAAACAAAAAAAGCTCTTTATTATGGTAATAAAAAGTATGGAGCAGGTGGAAGACCTTTAAAAAAACAGGGGATTTGCAAGTCTGCTGTATTTCTCTAAAGTCTCGACCAGTATAAAAATCTTATCCTGAGGTGTCTACGTCAAGTCCAACAAGCACTGCTGTAAATGAACAAACTAAAAGAAATGTTGAATGTTGATTATTGAATTAAGAATCGACATCACAGCACTCGGGACACTGCCATAAGCGGAAAGGAAACTGAAAGAAAAAAGACATAAAAACGTTTTTCTATAACCCAAGCTGATACAGCGCTGGCAAAAATGAATCATACACACAAATGATAGTTCAACAAAATATGTTAAACAGAATGTCCAGAAATGATCTTTTCAACTTATACATGATGTACATCAATTCGGAGATGCTGAAATACTGGGAAAGTCCTATTTTTAAGGAAAACTTGAATCACAAGATGTATCACCTTCCATGTTCTCTCAGATCTGCTGCCAGCTTCCCAGAATACTTTGATAAATAAAGAGGAGGAATGGTGATTGGACAGGGGACTCCCAATGATCTAATGATCAGAAGTATCTTGTTGTGTTAGCTTTACAGCACTTTTATACCATAAACTCATTAAGTATGGAAACTGTACAGATCATTTTTGCACATTCTGTATGTATCTGCCATTTCATGGCATCTAACTTAGTCTATGATTAAACAGCAGAACCTCATGCAAACAATGAACAAGGTGGTCAGTATACATGTAAACACAGTGGTCAGTATACATGTAAACACAGTGGTCAGTAGTAGCAGTGAAGTCACACATGTTTCACACAGATCGTGGTGGGGGTTGCAAACAGTTCATCCTGTGCTGGTTAATACACGGTTTCACCCACAATCAGGTCATGCATGGTACCTTGCATCTGTCCCTGGCAGGCAGAGAGTCCCGGCGGGGAACCAGCCCAGCAACTGGTGCCAATGATGACTCCAGTAGAACAATGCTGGTGGATCTATCTTCACCATCAGCTGACACAGGCAGAGACTCCCGGCGGGGAACAAGACCAGCAACTGGTGCCAATGATGACTCCAGTAGAACAATGCTGGTGGATCTATCTTCACCATCAGCTGACACAGGCAGAGACTCCCGGCGGGGAACAAGACTAGCAACTGGTGCCAATGATGACTCCAGTAGAACAATGCTGGTGGATCCATCTTCACCATCAGCTGACAAAGGTGGAGACCTCTGGCGGGGAACAAGACAAGCAACTGGTGCCAATGATGACTCCAGTAGAACAATGCTGGTGGATCCATCTTCACCATCAGCTGACACAGGCAGAGACTCCCGGCGGGGAACAAGACCAGCAACTGGTGCCAATGATGACTCCAGTAGAACAATGCTGGTAGATCCATCTTCAACATCAGCAGACAAAGGTGGAGACCTCTGGCGGGGAACCAGGCCAGCAACTGGTGCCAATGATGACTCCAGTAGAACAATGCTGGTGGATCCATCTTCACCATCAGCTGACAAAGGTGGAGACCTCTGCCTGTGTACTTGTTCAACACAGAAGTTTAATTTCTTGTCCAACTGTTGCTGAAATGATATCCCCCTCTTTGCCTTGTGTTAAATTAAGAAATTCCTTGCCCAGTTGCTCATATTGAAAATCTCCTTCCTTGTTTTGTAAGCTTCCTACTTTGCTCTTTTGCATATACTGAAGATCTCCTTCTCTGACTTGAAACTGTACATTATCTTGCAGATCTCCTTCATTATTCATCAACCCATGTGGATCTCCAGAAACAGATCCTTTCAACAGGTTGGCCTGGCAGGGAATGTTCTCTCTGTACCCCATCTCTCTGTCAACCTTACCAGCTTCACTATAGCTGTCTTGCATCACTGGTGACGCACCTTGACTTGCCACACTGTCTGCTAAATGTAATTTTGTAACAGCTACAGAACTGGACGTAGAATCATGTCTATCTACAGCTAATGCTTCTGGTGATCCTGTCTCTGCAGTGACCCCCAATCCTGTCTGTGTTGCATGAAAGTTTCCAGCTCTTGTTTGCCAAAAGCTAACGGTTTCTTGTAGAGAAAGATCATGGTGACTGACGGCAGGGATTATTTGTGCAGGAGAATGTGACTCATCTTTTCTAATTCCTAGGTGATCTTTCTTGGAATCAACCTGGTTTATTTGTAACACTTGTGTGACTGTTGGGTTACACTTGCTGTCATCAGTCTGCTTTATCTGTGCTTCAGAAAGTTCACAGTTATCATCCTTACTGTCAACCAGTTTGATTGATGATTCATCTTTCACATACCTCAGATGATCCATCTTTTCAGCTTGTTGGGTTAATGATTTTTCTTTGATTGTCCTCAGATTTTTCTTGCTGTCATGCTGTTTTATAGACGATTTTTCTTTCAACATTCTTAGATCTTTCTTACCATCAGCTTGTTTAACTGATGATTTTTCTTTCAACATTCCTAGATCTTTCTTATCATCAGCTTGTTTAACTGATGATTTTTCTTTCAACATTCCTAGATCTTTCTTACCATCAGCTTGTTTGATTGGTGAGTTTTCTTTCAACATTCCTAGATCTTTCTTACCATCAGCTTGTTTGACTGATGATTTTTCTTTCAACATTCCTAGATCTTTCTTACCATCAGCTTGTTTGACTGATGATTTTTCTTTCAACATTCCTAGATCTTTTTTACCATCAGCTTGTTTTATTGATGATTTTTCTTTCAACATTCCTAGATCTTTCTTACCCTCAGCTTGTTTTATTGATGATTTTTCTTTCAACATTCCTAGATCTTTTTTACCATCAGCTTGTTTTATTGATGATTTTTCTTTCAACATTCCTAGATCTTTCTTACCATCAGCGTGTTTTATTGATGATTTTTCTTTCAACATTCCTAGGTCTTTCTGACCATCAGCTTGTTTGACTGATGATTTTTCTGTTAGCATTCCTCGCTCTTTCTTACTGTCAGCCTGCTTCATGGATAGTTTTTCCGTCAACATCATTGGATCTTTCTTACTTTCAGG